GATAACAACTCAGGTTGGCAATAAAGGGACTTCACCGGGAGAGTACAAGTCAACAAGGCAACAAGAATCACAAGAACAAGTTTGAAGATACGGATAGGATTTTTGTAATGCATAGATCATAGTTTAGTCTAACTTCTTTTATTTTGTTATGGTGTAATAAGGAGTTCAGTAAGCAGTAGCAGCAACAACAACAACAACAGTGAAATCACAGCTTCATGGTAGTCCCAGCTACCGAAACTTCCCGAACTACACTGACCTGATTCCTTTATAGACAAGGATATGTAGGCAACCTCGGGAGCGGAGTGAAGCCAAATCTTTTCAAAATTCTTCCCACGGAGTATTCAAATGAGCAAAAATCGCTCGTATCCACTCACTTTATCTTTGCACGAAAACTCTTCGTGTTTCCGAGCAAAGAGGGGCAGCTGTGAGCACGTGATTTTTGCCCTACATGAAAATAACTCCTAAAAAATAGACCAAAAATAATTTTTATTAATTTTAGGAATTTTTCTTTATTTATTTGAATTTCATGCATTTTTAACATTTTTAAATAATAGAAAAATCCTAAAAATTTGTCATTTTTACATATTTATCTTTTAGTCTTTAAAATTAGCATTTTTCTTTAGTTTTAAGTTAATTAATTGTTTTAATGTTAAAAATAAATAAAGAATTTTAATTTCTACAAAAATAGATTAATTTAGGATTTTAATTAATTAAAGAAAAGAAAAAAGGAGAAAGAAAATTAGAAAAGAGTTTAATTTGAATTTGGGTCAAACCCTATAACCAAATCTACCCAAGCCCAAACACAATACCCAATCTCCCTACCCAAACCCGCTTGACCGTTTTCCCTCTCCCTTTCATTTAAAGACCTAGACCTAAATACACAGATCTTGGACCCCAAGCAACAGAGGGCACCGCTGCTCAGCTTCTTCTTCTTCTTCACATAAAAACACACATATTAGAGATTGGAGGGCGGCCTCCCATCTGCTTCGACACCAACAAAAAGCATGTCATCTCCTCCCCTATTTGGATTTCTCTAAAGAACAGAGAACAAATCGAACCCCCTTCCATCTCCGAACCAAAAAAAACCAGTAGCAGTACCCTCGTCCGTCCACCCCCTTTAACCTGAAATCGACCCCAAAAACCACCAGCCTCAACCCTCAGTTTCCACCCAAAAACCCACCGGAACGGACTACCCCCAAAACGCATGAAATCAGTTCCAAATATTGCAGCAAACCAGCTGCGAAAATAGCAGAAACGCGGCTGTAAATCAGCACAAAAGCGCTCAAGAACAGTCCAATGTCACGTCTGTTCCGTTTCTTCTCTTCGATTTTGATTTTTTGTTTCATAATGGACTTGAGTTTTGACAGAATTTGATGTGTTCGGGTTTGATATTGGCGAGAGCTTTTTGTGAGTTTTGTTTTTTCTTTCTGGGTTAAAGTCGAGTTCATAGCTGTCTCGCTGAGTTCGAATCTGTTGCGGCTGAGTTTTCATCCTTGTTGTTTTTCACATACTGGCCCTTATTTGGTTCACCTTTCTTGTTTGCCTTAGTTGAGAGGTACACAACTGTAAACTTACACTTTTCTGGTTGAATTAATTGAAATTGGCTCATGTTCATTCCCTACTCCTATTTTCTTTTACGATCTTGATGAATTGGACATTGTTAATTTGTTTATGAAAGAGTGACTGGGATCCACATATGTTAATACTGAGTTTGTGGTTGTTTTGTTGTCTAAATTGTTGATAAGCATTCTTCATATCCATGACCATAAACTAATGATTATACTGATTTTGGAAAGTTGGTTCAGTGTTTTATTGATGGGTCGCCGTATAGTTGCTTTGTAAAATCAAATGTTGTCGTGTGGTTTAAAATAGCCATGATTCAAGCTTGTTTGTAATTGTTATTTTACACGGTCGTGTAGTAACTCTTCGGACGATGAATTTGCTACAGGGTTGTTTCTATTACCAACTCAGACAATAGTTGAATCTTGAATTTCATTGTATCATATTCATATATATTATTTATCCAAATGTGGGCCACTTGGAGTAAAGAATCCTAATTTGAACTTTTATTTTCCTTTGAGACTAAGGTTTGCTTTATGGTAAGGGGATTTGTAATAGTAACTGTATCAGTTGGTATGGCAAGAATTGGTAGAAGAATTTGTGAAATTAGAAGTGAGAAGATGTAATATTGGTAAAATGGCGTTTGTTTTTTGACTGCTAATGTTTCTGATTGTTGACTTCAAGAATGAGCTATTTCTTAGCTTTTGTACTTCTCTATAGACCATCGGACATTTATGGGAAGCTTGGTATGATATTTTGAGATTTCCTCTTATAATGTTTCTTGTTTCCCTCTTGATTGCATGGATAATTTTGGGTGCTCTTTTATGTGCATTTAAATCTTGAAGAGATGAAGTTGTTTACGACAGGCATTGCCATGAATTTTAATTGTCTCATAAGCTTGTGTTGATCATTTTGCCTTAGCCGATTAGCATAATAAAATAATAATTTGAGGCGTGCCATGCCAAACAAAATCTTAAAACTCATGGCCCTCACTTAATTAAGTTTAACTCTTTAGAAAACAAGGTGTGCCATTAGTGAATTTTTCATGGCCCTCGCAAACTTGAAAGTGTGTAGTTTCTTTAGGCGCTCAATTTAAATTAATTTCCTTAAACTCGGGTGTGCATTTCATGTTACCCAAATCCAAATCTCAACAACGTTAAATAAATTGTATCATGAACTGCGGGTGCATTTCATGTGACGTGGTTCAAGGCGATTTTTAAATAATGTTTAATCTTTCTAATAATTAATTAAAGCGGTTATAAAGTTAAAATTGAACCATATGTTAAAACATGTATTAAAATAAATTAATAGGCCAATTATAACATTTGAGCGACCGTGCTAGAACCAAGGAACCCATCCACTGGTTAACAGAATTCCTTACCCGAATTTCTGTGTTCGCAGACTGTAAAACAGTCAATCTTTTCCTCGATTTGAGATTCTAAACCGGTGACTGGGGACACCATAAATTATCCCAAGTGACGACTCTTAATTTTTAATAAAATGATCTCATTTTGATTGTCACTTTAAGTTGAAAAAAACTCTCTTATACCCTTCTGAAGGTAGGAAAAAAGAGGTGTGACAGAAGTTCGAGGTAAGCGTTTGGTCTAACTTTAGCTTGAGGGATTAAGAGTTGTGTCCTATTTGCTATTTGTTTCTTGTTGAGTACGACGTATAGGCATGGTGACGAGTATCTATACGTTGGTGTTGAGCATGGCCGTGAGTCTTATATTGTGATTTCATGACTTCATTGTATTATTCATGTTTTGGTGAGGATTTCCATTTGTTGTGTAATGTCGTGGAAAGAATTGTAACCTATGAACATTGAGGAGTGTTGGCTCCAGTTGTATAACGAATTGTGAAAGTATAAGTGATAATTGAACCTCTAGAGTATTGGCTCGAGTTGTGAAGTGAATTGTGAAGTAAAAGTGAGAAAGAGAAGAGATCATTATGTTGCCCCCTTGACGGGCTATTGTTGAGTTGTGGTTCCCTTGCATTGTATTCTTAATTGATACTCCCTCCGTTTTAATTTATGTGAACTCATTTGGCTGGGCACAAAGTTTAAGAAAATAGAGAAGATTTTTGATCTTGTGGTGTAAAATGAGGCACATATATTTTGTGTGGCTATAAATCATTGTGTAAAGGTAAATTATTTCTAAATAAGGAAAGGGGTCTTTTTTTTTGGCACGGACGAAAAAGAAAATAGGTTCACATAAATTGAAACAGAGGGAGTATTACGGATGCCTAGGTTGATGACTCTTTGTGTTGGGTAAGGATTATGATTCTCGGGGCAAGAAGTTTGGTTATAGATGAGGTAGTTAGATGTTGTAATTGGTTATAGTTGTTTCTCCCTTGCCGGGACATAATTATTTATGCTGTCGAATCCCTTGTCAGGATAGTGTAGATCTTATTGATCCCTCGTCGGGACTCTTGTCATGATTGTTGTTGATTTTATATTGGATCGGGTCGCACGCCGCAACAATATTATATGTGGATCGGGTTGCACGCTGCAAAAATATTATATGTGGATTGGGTTGCATGCTGCAATAATATTATTTGTGGATCGGGTTGCACGCCACAACAATGTTATATTGGATTGAGTTGCATGCCGCAACAATGTTATGGGTGGATCGTGTTGCACGCCGCGACAACGATATATGTGGATCGGGTTGCACGCCGCAACAATGACAAATGATATGGATCGGGTTGCACGCCGCAACAGTGTTGATATATATTGGGGTCGGGTTGCGCACCGCAACAATTATTGATACACGTGTGCTTAGTGTGGATATTAGTTTCTTTTGTTTTGCTGTGGACTCTAAGCTACCCTTAGACTGTTACTCTGGATTTACTGTCAATACTGGTATACCCCTGCAGCATGTTTCCCCCTCCCATCTTTACTTGCTTATTCCTGCTTTACTTTCCGCTGTATATTATATAACTGCACAGGTTTATTTGGTAGTCTTGTCCTAGCCTCGTCACTACTTCGCCGAGGTTAGGCTAAGAACTTACCAGCACATGCGGTCGGTTGTGCTGATACTACGCTCTGTACTCTTTTGTGCAGACCCCAGTATTGTAGACTTCGGACCGCAGTGAGATTGCTGATTCTTGTTCATCAGGCGACCTGAGGTAGCCCTGTAGACATCCGTAGGCCTTGGCGTCTCCTTTCTATTTACCTTTATGTTTCTTACATGTATTTCTAGAGACAGTGTTGTATTAAATTCTTTCAGACCTTTATTTGTAGTATTCTTAGATCGTCTGTGAAACTGTGATACCAGTTCTGGGTAGTCGAGACATCAAACAGTTGTAATAGATATTCATGTTCAGATGGCTTATTGTGTTCTTCCGCTTATGTTAAATTTCGTTGTTTAAATATTATTTCTTCGTAATTGTTAAAGAGAATAAAATTGGTAAAAAGGTAGCTGGTTCAATAATTGGCTTACCTAGCTCACATTAGTAGGCGTCATCACGACTCCCGAGGGTGAGAAATCCGGATCGTAATACAGACAAACTGCATTATTGAAATTCTCTGCAGGTGTAGAAGGAATAGCCATTAACATGGCATCAAGGAATTCTCTCATCAATTCAATAGTATCATTTTGCTTCATCTTCGATTACAAAAGTTGGCGTGGTTTAGTAACTAAATAACCAAGATTAAGATGTATATATCTTGAAAGAAAAAAATCTAGTATTATTTAGTAGGTGCCCTATTTCAATCTTTATGTCAAAAAATATTTCCATGTACTACAAATTATCTCTTCCTTACAACAAAAGGGATCACTAATTACATAGACAAAAGATAAAATATCTTGAATATGAGCTTCATCTAACAAGTTATACGGGTTCCTAGCATTTTTTGTCAAATAAATTACTTTTGACTTTTTATGAAGATAAGAAAAAAGGTATGACATTATATTTTCAATTTGACAATAGTTTTGGCTTCTAGTGCAACTGCATTCATGTCAGTGAAGTCTTTGTTGCTTTTTGAGTTCAAGTAAAAGCAAATGGAAGCTATTTCAAGCTTTATAGTCATATTTTTCTTTTGTTTTTTCTCCCTTAAATACGTACACCGTGGTAAGTCCTTATTAATAAAAGAAATCATATGCAGAGAGATATGAATTCGGCCGTAAAGTTGCACTAACCAAAGGTCATTCTTTTATTGAACTTGGATGAAATCTGCAAACCTGAAAAGAGAATATCCTGAAAGCCAATTATGCCATAGCCATAATAAGAATTAGAGGATCATATAGTCGAGAACTCTTAGAAGCTATAGAAAATTCGAAAAAGCAAAGTCATATTCACACCATACAGTTCAAAGAAAATCACACTAAACTATTTAAGAAATAGAAGCTTATCACAAAGAACAAACAATATGGGACATAAGCAAAGTCTGAAGTGATGAAAAGAACCGATGGAAGAAGAAGATGAACACAATTTATCATCAGAAATCAATCTCGGTAAAAGAAAAACAAAATTGTTCTCGTTATTACATAGCAAAGGAAAATTAATCATTGATATTTAACCACAAATATTACTATAGTACATTCCTCAACATAGGAGACAACAATTAACATTGATAATTGACCTATAAAATATGTTGCACTTCGTAATCCTCTTGTGCTTCTTTCATGGATTATGATTGTCTTAATTGATCAATGTTAGGCTAATAACAATACAGACCAAACAAGCCAAGTCCCATAACATACAATATGCAATTTGAAGCAATAATTTGATTTGAAACTAACCAAAATATTTGAGGGGAAAAAAGAGGTGTAGCCATACAGGTTGAGAGTCACAAATCCTACAGCATGACGAACTACAAAAAAATATTAGTAAAGACTAAAGAGTAAGCACAAGATATCATTCCATTTTCCCAAAAAGAATATGTAAGCGACTTCCGTTTATTCAGTTTGATCTTCGTGACTTGATGAAACTAAATCTATCCGGCAGAAACCAAAATATTGGAAACAGTGACACAGGAAATACACACCAAACAAATCTCAAAAATAAGAAAGAGATAAGCAAATCACAAAATCAGAGAGAAGTAATTTATCTCTAGCAATAGTAGAAATAAAAGAAACAGAAATTCAAGGAAATATTTAAAATATTAAAGAGCAAACAAAGAATTTTACCTTGGGTGATGGGAGGAAGAAGGGGTAAAGAAGAAGACACTTTAAGGGAAGAGGAGATTTGCGAAGAGGAGATTTGCGAAGAGGAGGAAGAGAAGAGCCTTTTAGGAGTAAAAGACGCGGCCGTTTCTTCTGCAGGGAAAGGGCGTTTCTTTTGCAGCGACTGTTAATTTTTTTTATTTATTATTGGAACGGTTTTTTTCATTATTTTTAGAAGGTAAAATATCAAAAAATGGCAATAAAGATAAATGCCAATGCTGGGCTAAGAGAGGTGCCACATCAGCCCCTCTTAGACTCAACTTTATGTGTGTGTATATATATATATAGATCTTTCTAAAGTATCTATTATATACCTACTTGTAGCGCGTGTTTTACCAATAAAATAAGGTGCGTAAACAGTAAAAAATTTATATGTGATGTTTTATTTGAACAGTCCAGATTTGATAAAATTGATCCAACAATTCTAAATAATTTTTTTCTTTTTCTTTTTTCCTTCTTCTTTTTCTTTCTTTGTTTTTTTCCCCCACTTCCTTAACTAATCTATTGCCTCTTTCATCATTTTCTTGCTAAGTGTTCAACGGAGAAACAAAGATGAATACTGAGCGGATACTTGCTTTTTCAACTGAAAACCAAACATCTATATTATATTAAAAAGAGAGTAGTATGCATTGTGGTTAACCCAAGTGGCAAGCTAAAATGAAGCCATTTGGCAATTTTAGGACAACATTAATAATTAGAAATTATAAATGGAAGCATACTTAATGGAAGTAGTTTAATGAATCTTATACATAATCTAAATAGATCTTAGACAAATCTAATNAAAAATTAATTAAAAAAACTATAATAGGAAAATATAAAAAATATAGAAATACGTAAATTGAGATAACCTATGACTATTTATATTTTGAAGAGTTAAAATATAAAATAAAAATAAAATTTACTTAAGATATTAACGATTTATTGAGTTTAAAAATTTAATAAATTCAAGCAGCAAAATAAGTTCTTATAAAAAGTATACAAATTTTTTGTAAGGTAAGAAAAAAAATTAAAGAATCAGTAAAAAATATTTTAATAACAAGAATAATAAAGTCATATTAATATTGATAAATCAGGCAAATAAATATTTTATACGTAAATATTACTACAACATTTAGATATAATGTGTTCAAACAATTAAGAAAATATATTTTTATGATTAATATTTGAATTGAGTGTAGTTAGTTTAAGTTTGAAAGAATAACATAAATTTTTGAAAATGCGATCCAATTTAGAAAATAGAATGATAAAAAATATTTGAATTTGAGATGAGAAAGTTATTTAATTTTTATCTATATTATATTAGAATGAGTGTGATTGAAATATATATTAAATTCGAACAAGCTAATAAGAATCCACATGATAATGTAATAATATTAAGAATTGAATAATATAACGTCAAAAATAAAGACTAAATAGAGAAAAAATAAAAATTCAGATTTTTTATCATAGAGAAAAAGGGTAAAACTAATTTAAATTTGAGATAAAAAAGTCTTTTATATTGTGATAAGAAAAGTCATAATATGGGTAAGTCCACGTAACTCAAGTCTAATATATAAAATCAAAAACTTAAAATATTGAATAATAAAAATAAATTAGAGATAATGCGAGGATATTTATAAATCATAATTTTAGAAAATAAAATAAAGTAAATATACAATACTTAAAAATATTATAAAAATTTAAAATTTTCAAGCAATATTTTTAAATCAAAATGAATATTTATTTTATGATTAAGAAATTATATATTTATCTATATTATATTAAATGTAGTTGATAATGATATTAAATAAAGTTACAAATTATTGAAAAGCCACATAAAATATAATAAGACTATATATCAGATTAAAAAATAGCAAAATTACGTTAAATTATAAAAATTTACTATTCGAAATGAAAGGGAAAGACTATTTGAATTTGAGATTAGAAAGTTCTTAAAACTATGACGAGAATACTCAAACTATAGATATACCACAAAATTGAAGTCTTATTTATGAAAAATAAAATAAAATAAATAAAAAAATAAAATTTAGAAATAAATATAAATTTCTATATAGGTAATTTTACTAATAAAAATTAAAAATTAAATTTGTGTATTAAAAATAAAAAAAGAAAGAAAATTTACATAAAGAAATAATATGACAATGAAAATATTGCTACAATATTCAGATGTGTTTGAAATAATTAAAAAATATTTGTTTCTAATTAAAATAAAATTTTAAAAATACAAATAAAATTTTAATATAGGTAATTTTACTAATAAAAATTAAATTAAATTTGTATCTTGAAGCTAAAAAAGAAAGAAAATTTAACTACATCTAATACAAAAATAATTATAAGAGAACTCAATACATTTGGAACATAATAATCAAATAACTTAACTCAAAGTTACAATTTAAAATAAAATATGATATTATTTTGGTTATAGGCGAAACATTAATATAAAAACTAACTAAAATATTGTAGTAGGGAAGAGAATGTATAAAAAATAAAGGTAGTGTGAGGATATTTATACTTTAAATTAATTTAAAGTTAAAAAAAATTAATAATTAAGATATATTTTAAAATATTACTTATAAATTTAACTGATTAAAAATTTTCGAATAAGAGGTTACAAGCATAAAAATATACTAGATTTCAAGAATAAAACATTTATATGTATTAAAGACTATTAAAGGATAATAAGCAAGACATTAATTTAATTATTAAGCTAATAAAAAATTATATGATAGTATAATAAAATTAAATATTACAATAATACAATAACTATAAGAAAAGAACAAAAAAATGCATAAAAATGATGTGATAAATAAGACATATTTGACTTTAAAATAAAAATAAAGTGATATTAAGAATTTTGTTAAAATAATATTATCTAATGTGCTCAAACAAGACAGACCACAATATGACATGTTTAGTATTCTTTAATATTGACAGCGAAACAAAATGCAAGTACTAAAATTAAGGGTTATGCTACTACAAATATATATATAAGAAAAATAGATTGTCCACTACGAGATTTGGACAATAATTTCGTATCCTGCTTCATAATTAATATCTAATGTTATATAATTTTTATCTCAGAGGTTTATATTTAATGTTATGCGCACATGATTCAAATAACCTACATCACAATTTGACATGATATTTATCCGTGCATCGCGCGGGCACTAATACTAGTTTTACTAGTGAAGACAAAGATTCCTTTTTGAAGAATTTCAAAAATCCAATAGAGATAAAGTTTCGCTTTTGACCATATTTTGCTGTCTAGATTTTAGTCACCATCCGATAAATTTTATTTAGCAAGAGGAATGAATTTCGGCAGGAAGTGTGACAAGAAAGTGGAGGCGGCATAATATTTTCTTTTTAAAAAAAATAAAATCAATTAAAGTTTATTTTAAATATATACTTATTTAAAGTTGAGTTATGACACACGTTGTGTTTTGATTGGCACGTGGATGCAATCTCAAAATAAAAAACTGTTCAAGAAAAAATTGGTGTGTCTTAGACGTACTTTAGAACGATTGGGAGTGTAAAAGTTGTCCGTGGTCAGAAGTTGCATCACAGGGATTTGGTCCTAAGTTCTGTGGTTAAACTATGTATTTTGCCATGAAATAATATTTGTTCTCATTATTTAAACAAATATTGTATTTATTATAATTTTAATTATTTATTCAAATAATTTGATCTTCTTGTGTAAGCATATATAATATTGATCGACGCAAAACACACGTGCAATGCGCAACGCACGTATACTAAAACTAGTATTATTAAATGTTATGGTTATATTATGTATATATACATTATACATAGTTATATACTACTGTAATATTATCGATATATGTATTCCACGTATATATTTATTATCCACTATTATTAACATTAATATACAATCAATATATACATATGAACATTTATGATAAAATATAACATTAAAATGTGCAAGTTTTTAGTTGGTATATTATTTGGTGTAATCAATGTTTTAAAAGGCAGGGGCGTGAGGCGAGGCATTTTACCTCTGACGAGGCGAGGCGTAAGCCCTGAGACATGGGGCGTAAGTCCCACGGATCTTTAAATTTTACTAGTTTCAAGAATTTTAAAATAAAAAATAATTATTAAAATTACATTAAAATCACAAAATTATAACAAATAATATATTTAAAATAATTATAAATTATAATTCAACTATGAATAATACGAAAAGTATGACATATATCATAATATGCAAATTAGCTGCAACGTCATTACAATCAAACATCAAAAGTAATGTATTCGATACAAAATCTTATATGTATCTCTTAAGGAGTAATGAATCTTGAAAGAATTTCGATATTATAATTTGACATTTTTCTTAAAATAGTCCTTTTATTTATTATGCTTTCTATTTGAAAGAGAATTAATATAAAAACATAATTCACAATTTCAATACGATTCTCTAGCATCATTTATTTTTTAAGTTTCAACAAGTTAATAGAGTGACACATAATTCACCATACAATACTATGATAACTAATTATTACTAGCTAATACTGAGCTATTAAATTAATAATTTTTGTATCTCGTAAACGTGAAAAAAAATAATATTTAGAAAAATATTTATAAAAAAATTATGGACTATTATATATTAAAGACATAACAAAAGTTAATAAATAATTTTTTTAAATGACAGATTTATTTAAAACTAACTATCATAGCAGTCTTAGTGGATAATGCACAATAATTTTTATTTTAATTGTGACATAAAATACTCTCAATTTAATGATTTATGATAATAAAAAAAAGTAATTTTGAATACTTAAGGATTTATTAAGAAAATTTGAGGATTTACAAGGTTAGTTATATACAATTGCATAAAGTTCTATTAGGCGAACCCAGTACGCTAGGTGTTGGGCATGTCCGGGCGTAATCCCCGATGGTCGAAGCGTAAGTCTCACGGAACTAAGCCCCACACATAAGCCCAGGGGCGTTTTACGAGTGCTCCGCCCTAGGGCAAGCCCAGGGCGAGTCCTAGTTCTGCCTTTTAAAACAGAGGGTATAATTATACATGATTTACATCGTGTATAATTATCTATTATAATTTGTACATAATTT